ACTCCTCTCAGAATGCAGGTCCTGCTCTGAAACCTTCAATGGCTCCCCAGGGCCCATCAGAGCAGCAAACAACTCCTCAAGGCATTCAAGGCTCTAGCACACCTGTCCCTGTTTCCCTCCCAACTCACAGCCTTCATCCATCTGTGCTCTCTGCCTTTATCCTGCTGTCCATTCAGCATGGCTGCCCTCCCTTTCCCTGCTGCTCAAGGGAGCTCTAACTTCCTGGACTATGGCACAAGCTCCTCGTCCATGAAGTCCTTCCTGATCCCCCTCCCCAGGTAGGTGTGGCTTCTACCCCTTCAGGAAACTCCTTGAAGACCCCATCCCAGCATTCCCTGGTTAAAACCTACTTCCGTGCTTGCTTTGACTCTCCTACGCTGGGTCAGAAAGGAAGCCCCACACAGCATCATGGGACAATGGCTGTTCTGTATAATTTGGCTTCTTTAAGAATCTCCCCAACTGCAGAATGAGATGGTGGAACTGGATCAGCATTTCTCAAATTTCTGTCATTCAAGTACCACCACTGTTGCTTTATTCTTGTACTACAGGTACTATCATACACTTACTATGTATCTACTCTTTAAAATAATTTAAAAAGGAAACCTAAAATTGCTTACTATGAGTGGAAAGCCAATGTCACTTTTGATAAAAGTTGCAGTAATGAAAAGGTCATCATGAAAACAAACATGTAACTGACAAAATAAGAAATGTCTGTGTAATGCCTCCAATCTTCCCATGCACAATTCTGGGAAATAATCTACTAGATTGTCAGAGGCTTTGTCTAAGATAAACAAAGCTGAACACTAGCTAAAACTGTAAGGACAGAATTTAATCAGTCATAACTACTGCAATAGGGAAAACAATCTAGTATGAACTGAGCTCAACATTGATTTGTACGAAAAGTAAATGGGCATTTTGAAAAGAGGATGAGGGAATAGGGAGAAGGACAAGCAGCAGTTTAACAGAATCAGGGAAGTGAAAAATGACAAAGGGTTGGTCAGTGTAAGTGACATTAGGCCAGCTGTGTCTGCTAGCTACCAATTACCAAAGTTAGGATGCCATCCTCCCAAAGAGACTGGGAGACAGAAACTCTATCCTCAGGTGTTGGATGAAACAAAACAGTAAATATTTTGGCAGCCTTGAGTTTTCTCAGGTAGGCACTTTAAGAGGGGGTGGTGGGGCCAGTGTCACCTTAGGTAGGGGCCACCAACCCCTGGGCTGTGGACCAGTACTGGTCTGTGGCCTGTTAGGAACCAAGCAGTGGCATTAGATTCTCATAGGAGCTCAAAACCTGCTGTGAACTGTACATGCGGGGGATCTAGGTTGCATGCTTCTTTTAAGAATCTAATGCCTGATGATCTAAGGTGAAACAGTTTCATCCCCCAATTTTTTTTTTTTTTTTTTTGAGATGGAGTTTCTCCGTTGCCCAGGCTGGCATGCAGTGGCACAGTCTCAGCTCACTGCAACCTCTGCCTCCTGGGTTTAAGCGATTCTCCTATTTCAGCCTCCTGAGTAGCTGGGATTACAGGCCCGTGCCACCACACCTGGCCAATTTTTATATTCTTAGTAGAGACAGGGTTTCACCATGTTGACCAGGCTGGTCTCAACTCCTGAGCTCAAGTGATCTGCCCACCTCGACCTCCCAAAGTGCTGGGATTACATGCCCGAGCTACTGCACCTAGCCAAAAATGGCTGATTTTACTAGGCAATCCTATTGTTATTTATTTTTTGAGACAGAGTCTTGCTCTGACACCCAAGCTGGAGTACAGTGGTGTGATCTCAGCTCACTACAGCCTCCACCTCCCGGGTTTGAGCAATTCTTGTGCCTCAGCCTCCTGAGTAGCTGAGATTACAGGCTAGCACCACCATGCCCGGCTAATTTTTGTATTTTTAGTAGAGATGGAGTTTCACCAAGATGGCCAGGCTGGTGTTGAACTCCTGGCCGCAAGTGATCTATCTGCCCACCTCGGCCTCCCAAAGTGCTGGGATTACAGGTGTGAGCCACCACGCCAGGCCTTCATCATAGAATTATTGCCCATTCTCACCACTCTGTCTGTGACAACATTGTTTTCCATGAAACTTGTCTCTGGTGCCGAAAAGCCTGGGAACTCGTGATCTTAAGGATGTGACGCTGTTATTAGAAACTGTGTTCTAGGCCGGGCGCGGTGGCTCAAGCCTGTAATCCCAGCACTTTGGGAGGCCGAGACGGGCGGATCATGAGGTCAGGAGATCAAGACCATCCTGGCTAACACGGTGAAACCCCGTCTCTACTAAAAAATACAAAAAAATAGCCGGGCGAAGTGGCGGGCGCCTGTAGTCCCAGCTACACGGGAGGCTGAGGCAGGAGAATGGCGTGAACCCGGGAGGCGGAGCTTGCAGTGAGCCGAGATCCGGCCACTGCACTCCCGCCCGGGCGACAGAGCGAGACTCCATCTCAAAAAAAAAAAAAAAAAAAAAAAAGAAACTGTGTTCTGTTCAGTCTTTATAGGCCAAGATTGAAGCCTAGTTGAGAAGAGGACTCAGAGGAGCTTGGCTAGGTTCCATCAAGAAAAGAATCACTATCGGCTTCTTTACCTTAGCCCCCGCCTCTCCCAATAAAAGCATCAATATTGTGGCTACATACCAGGTGTTTCACAAAGTTATGAAGTAGTCATAATTAATATCCTCATTAAAAGGTTGAGAAAACTGAGGCTCAGAAAGGTTGCCTGCCCAAGGTTCCACAGCCAGAAGTAGCAGTGCTGGGATTTGAACCTAGGTCTAGGTCTCACTGGTTCCAGAATTCACTGTCGTCCAAAGTGCATAGCTCCATTCTGTTTCTAGGCTCTATAAGCCATCCCTCTCTTGCATATGCCCATTTTATGAATGCCACTGGTCCCGAGTATTGAGTCTGGACAAGTATGTGGCCCTGTGGATCCTGGCTCTGGCTGCACCACCTGGGGAGCTTTAAAAATACTGATGCCTGGACCTCACCCCTAGAAGCTCTAAAGTAACAGGTGTGGAGTGCAACCCACAGGGATTTTTAGAAGATTCCAGGTGATTTCTGTCAGGAGCCAGGTTTGAGACCCACTGTGCTAGAAGCCTTCACAGTTATCATCCCATATGATCCTTACAAGAGCCCTCTGAGAAAGGCAGGCAAGTGGCAATGCCCATGTCGTGCTGACGAAGAAAACTGTTGAGAGGCTAAGGCTCAGAGAGTAATATCTGGACAGAAAGCAACATTTCTGACCTCTAGCTCTGAGTTCTCTGCCTAAAGGTTCTGCTCTACAAGGCATAATTAAGAAGAAAAAAAAGCAACATCTCGAAGAACAGCAGCTTAATTTCTCCTGTACAGTAAAAGTCACTTCTCGCCCCCACTGAACACATGGAGGAGAGGTAGTGCCTGCTTCAGCCATAGTACCCAAAACAAGGCCAGGGGATCCCAGGGAGGTGAGCAGTGACCCCCTTCCTGACAAAGTGTTCCCCTGGCAGAAGCCAAGGGAGGGCTAGGGGACAGGGGCCTGCAATTCTGTGATAGTGCTGCAGCCTGCTTTCCACGCCCACTTTTCTGCAACGGTTTGTGATCTGGACTCCCTGAGCACCCGTGGGGAGCTGGGGGCAGCCTAGGGAAGTCGGGACCTATTCCTGTACCCTGCCAGGAAAGCGTCCCTGGCCACCTAGCCTTGTCAGGGTCCAGGCCACAGGACCCCCTGTGCATAACCCTGGGCCCACCAGCCTGTTCGGCCCTGACGTTTGCTCACTGATGATGTGCAGAGGGGAGGGGGCGGTTTCCCACCTCTGGGAGAAAAGAGGGCACTGTCCGCCCTTGGTAGACATGGGGGGCGTCACTGCCCACATGTGGGGGACGTCACTGCTCACCCCTGGGGGACTTAAGGGTTCCCAGTGGTGGGCAGTCGACAGGATACTGCCCACATCTGGGGCCAGCAAAGGACCCCTGGACCTCAACTGGAAGGCGAGAGCTTCACCTCAGCCTTGCGGTCAGGAGTGGGCAGAGGGCCCCTACCCACTCCAACCCCCTAAAAATGCAACAATCCCAGGCACACCTTAGGCCGCGCCTGGCTGTGACCGAACAGAGGGCGACCACACCCCCGGGGAGAGGCCGGGTTGGGACCGCAGGGCGCAGCTCTGCCAGTCCCACCCTTCGGAGCAGGGCTCCTGCCGACACAGCCCTCCAGGCCGCCTACTCTCCAGTCAGCCGGCTCCACGAACCCACGGAAGGGCAAGGGGGCGGCGTCGGGGTGGCGGGACGGTCGTCGGAGGGCGCCCTCCAGGCCCAAGCCGCCTTCTCCGGCCCCCGCCATGGCCCGGGGCGGCAGTCAGAGCTGGAGCTCCGAGGAGTCGGACGGGCAGCCAGAGGAGCAAACGCCCGAGAAGCCCGGGTGAGCTGCTGGGCCGCGCTGGACGGCCGTCGGGGGTCTGGTCCGCGAACCCGCCGCGGCGCCGCCCGGAACCTCCGCGAAGGTTCTAGCCCTTTGTGGCGTCACTGTCTCCTTGCGGAAGCTTCCGCCGGCGCCGAATAAAACCCGCCGCGGAGGAGCCGGTGGCTCTAGTGCGGCGGTGCCGGGCGTGAAAGTCGGCCCAGCGCGGGGAGCGGGCGGGAGCCACAGGCGGCGGCGAGGGCGGTGGCAGCGGTGACCGTGACCGTGACGCGCGGGCGGGCGGCGGGGACGCGGGCCAGGGTCCCGGCAGCGGCGTCCGGGGCACTCTGACCGGCCTCGCCCGCCCGCCCGCAGAGACAAGATGGTGAAGGAGACCCAGTACTATGACATCCTGGGCGTGAAGCCCAGCGCGTCCCCGGAGGAGATCAAGAAGGCCTATCGGAAGCTGGCTCTCAAGTACCACCCGGACAAGAACCCGGATGAGGGCGAGAAGGTGCGGGGCGGCGCGGGGCGCGGGGCGGGCTCCCGAGGGGCCGAGGGTTATTAAGCCAGGAGCACTGAAGGCGGCGGGAAACCTGAGCCGCGTTTGTTGCGGAGGCCGTCGCCAGGCGCCTCGGGGCCAGGCCGGGGCAGAGGTGGCGCGGTCGGTGGAGGGCGCTTCGCCCGCGGAGGAGGCATGTGGTGCGGGCTGGGGCCTCTCGCGAGTCCCTGCCGAACCCATTCATTCCTCCATTCGCTCCACAAGTGTTCGGGTAGCCCCTGCAGTGCGCGCTGGAGTCCGGCGTCAGGGAGGCGCAGGGGCTGAACCCAGTTCACATAGGAGTGTGTTGGCGTTCCTGTGGGAGAGGCGGCCTGGAAATCGGGAAACTGAGGCACGCACAAACAGTTGTGTACTTGCTGGGAACCACTGGCTCATGTTCTCTGTTGATGCATAAACCCTAGGGATGAGTGTCTTTAATCTGAGCCGGTACCTTGGACAAACGCCGTGCCTCTCTTGAGAATGACCAGCAGAATTTGTTCTGTGCACCTACTTCCTACCTGATAAAAGTGTCAGATAGTGAATAATTCCATTTTCTTTATTAAACAGGGACATGGACATGTGCAGCCTGACATTAGCTTGTACTCATATTCTGGGTTTTCGGTGACAGGTGACACACAGTTGATCTTAAGTACCAATCATAGAGTGAAAATACTCTGTATTTTAGAGACAGAAGTTAAAAGCTTTTCCATCCTGTTTACAGAAAGTTTGCTTTTTATCTCTAAAGAGGCTCATGACCCACCTGAATACGTGAATTGAAGGAATGAGGCGTTGCAAGGAAAGGCTGCTGGCCCTCCCATTCCTCCTTTCACTTCTTGCCATTTTCTTGTAAAACTTTGGTTGTCCCGCATGGGTCTTGGGAGATGGGGCCGTTATAGTAGCTGATGGCAGTGTCACCTGGGCCACTTTTGAAGCCACACTGATCACCATGTAGCATTTAAGACCTTTGGAAACGACACTGGAATCAAAATACCTGTCTGCATTAGTTATTCCGAACTGGAGAAAGCTACTTCAGGACGGTTTGGCTGAATGGCAACAGTGATGGAATATTTATATTTAGCCACATGTGCTGAATGTGGCTGTCACAAGTTTAAAATGCTTTCGCGTAAGACCATTTGTCTGTTACTCACTTGCGTTCTTTCTCATCTATATTTAGATGGCTTACTGTAGCTTTTAAAGGCACTGGCGTTTTACGTGGTGCTAGTGATTCATCCACCTGCTCCCTACATTCATTGTAGTCTGCTTCTGACAGTCTCCTTTAAGGAGAGCTTCTAGGCTTGTAATTTCATATTTCAGCAGGCAGGCTAAAGACATGTGGGAAAGTCTTCTGACCCTGGTTTCAGGTCAAATCTCAGCACTCAGAAGAGTAAGTTCATGCCTCTGTGTATACAGTTAGAGCTGAATGTGCTTTTGTTGTTCTGAAGCTTTTATTTTTAAAACATTAGACTTGACCTGTACTACATATATGTAGGTTTCACCCTGTCAATACCTGTCTGGGCAGGTTGTTTGGTTTGTTTTAAACTAATATTTATTTATAGCCAGGCACTGAGTTAGTGTCGCATAAATGAGGCCCTTGGCAGTGAGGTCTGGCAAGCCCATCTCAGCTTGGAGGGAGGGGTTCTGTGATGTGCCTGTTGCCAGGAATACTTTCCTTCCCCTACCTTCACGGAAGGGGATAAAACTCCTTAGTTCTCGCTAAAACATCTTCCAGGAGGCTGCCTCTGCCTCGTAGACTGAACCACAGGCCCAACATGCATCCTACTCTAATGGTGATTACTTGTTTGATTAACTGTATTCCTTTAAAGGTGATTACTTGTTTGATAACTGTATTCTCTGCCATAATATAAGCAGGGCAGTGACTGTGCCCCCATGGCCACTTATGGGGTGAGTAGCTAGCTGTGCAGGGTAGGTGCTAAAATGTTTGTTAGCTGGCTGAGTAAATGCACTTTAAAAAATTGTATGTAGGAGAAGAGGGCTCTATAAAGGCACAAATTGGAAGGGAAATTGCAGTGAAGGAATATTGGGAGGAGAGTGGCAATTTAGATTGGAAATCAAAGAGGATGAGGAGACTGGGGACACAATTTATAGAAACTGCTGTAAAGTTCCCCAGAGAGAGCTCATTCGTTCATTTGTTCATTCATTCAACAAATACCTCCTCTTCTGGTCCCCACTGTGTGCTGGGTGCACTGTGCAGGCCTTTTGTGAGTGTGTATGTGAGTCTGTGTGTAGTTCTTTTCCACTTTATCACAGGCAGAACATTAAAATTTTTTTTTCCTCCTAAGTTTGTCACTGTATTATTAATGTCTCTTCAAAAGTAGACTATGCCAGTTCTTTAGCCCTTGCTGGGACAACTGAGAAGGCCGTTGGGGTGTTGGTCTTTGTTTTTTGCCGTGTTGTCCCCTGTTGCTAAGCATTGGGGCAGCTTGTGTTTGTCGGGCACTCTGTATGGAGTCTGTACTTATCTGCAGCTGGTTTTTTTTGCAAGATGCCTGGGTGGTAGGTAGTGGGTCACAAGATAGTCCCTTTCAGGGGCAATGATGTGGGGTATATTCTTGGCTACTACCCTGTTGAGATGAGTTTGATCTTTTGGTCAATTTCATTGTAACTTTTAGTTTGAATGATAGATTTTCAAGTTCAAAAATCAAAAAATAGCGAACTGTGCAGAAAATTTTAGAACACAGAGGAAAGCCTACTAAGCACACATTATCCTCACCACTCCCTCCGTGCTTCTTTCCAGGCTTCCCCCAGGATGATCATACATGGCCATCCTGATATATAGACATTTTGTTTTCTTGTTTCCACTTAATACTTTATTATAAGTACTTTTCCCAAGTTGTTACATAGTCTTCAAAGCCATTTTCCCCTCAGCTGTATAGTAATCCTGTTAAGGTTCTGTGACAAATAATCATGGCCTGAAAGGCAAGCTGGTCATAGCACTTGTCTCCCACTGGGAGAAGGGGGTCCAGGCTGGGAACTGAATTAGACTTTGGAGTCCTGCGACCCTAGAGGATGGACTCCCTACTGGTAGTTGGAACCCCCATCCCATGTGAGGTCTGGCCTCTGAATGTCCCAAGCAACTGGGTACTCCTTTTCCGTTCTTAGATAATTCTAGTAAGTATAAATGTCATGTGAGTATCCAGGGTATTTGGTGAGTGTTTCCAGTGGACATTCCCATGAAGCTTATTTACCTAGTCCTGACCTGCAGATAGATGCAGAAACTCTCTAGGGGCAGCCTGGCCTAGATGCTTTCTGATCTGTACCAGGCACCCAATCCTTACACTGTATCTCAGGTTTTCTGCTGAGGAAAGGGGTAGTAGTGAATGGTACTTACTTCTTTGCAGAAATGGTATGAGAATCAACATATCAAAAGATCTAGCTGATTTATATATGATGCTGATGTCTTTTTAATACCCTTCTAAATTGTACAGGTTTTTAAGCTATTATTTATTAGCTATTATTATTATTATTAGTTACTTATTAGATTTCAATCACAGATTTGTAGAACAAGAGAATTAATGCCTCAAATTCCCTTGTTCTGTCTCTCAAATTCCTTATTTCATGGCACTTTTTTCCCCTGAATATTTTGTGAAGCCAGCTGCATTATAGGATCTGTATATCTATATATCCATATATGTCTCTCTGACTAAACTGTAGCCTCTGGAGGGCCAAGACCCTACCTCATTTATGTATGTCTGAGTTCCCAGAATCGAACCATTCATCTAACAGGTATTTACCAAGTGCCTTCCACATGCCAGGCATGGTTCCAGGCTCAGTTAGACAGCAGTGGACAAAACCCCCCATCTTCACGGAGCTTATGTTGCAGTGGGGACTACATAAGCTAAGCAATACATGATACAGCTTGTTGGAAGGTGGTTAATGCTATGGAGAAATATGCAGCAGGGGTGGGGGGTGGGAGGGTCTGAGGTGGGTTTGCAGTGTTAAAGCTGGATCACCAGGAGGCATCCCTGAGAAGGTGGTCTGTGAGCTAAGGCTGGAAAGAGGTGAGTGGGGAGGCCACACCAGGCTGAGGTGCCCCTGAGGCTCAGGCTGCAGAATTGAGGAACAGCAGGGAGCCTGGTGAAGCTGGCACAGAATTGAGGTGGGGACGCACAGGAGGAGAAGAAAGTAGAGGTGCCAGGTTGAACTTATAGATGAAAGTTAGGACTGGCTTTTACTCCCAGTGACATGGGCCGCCTTGTAGAGGTTTGAGCAGAGGATTGACCCAATTAGTGGGCTCGAATGGAGAACACACTGAAAGCTGGGGCAAGAAGGGAACATGGAAGACCAGGGAGGAGGCCACTTCAGTAGTCCAGGCCTGAGATGGTGCCTTCTGCCAGAGTGGATGTGGTGTGGTGAGAAGGAACAGATCTTGCATGTTTTAGCATTCTGATTTTATTTTTTAATATACCTGCAGAAAACAGGAGTGGTGCAATGAACACCTATGTATTCTTCACCTAGCTTTACCAGTTGTAAATAAATTGTCACATTGGTTTTATCTATTATTATTATTATTACTACTGTTGGCTAAAGGTTTTGGGAGGAAGCTGCCTGTAGCGTAACCTTTCAGCCCTAAGTGCTGCATGTTTCTCTTAGGCACAAGGACATCCTTGTACATAACCATAGTGCAGTTATCAAATTCAAGAAGTTTAACATTGAGAACAAAGATTCACATTTCTCCCATTGTTCCAATAATGTCCTTTGTAGCCATTTTTTTTTCCCCCAGTGCAGGATCTGATCCAGGATCACACATTGTATTCGGTTTTTCCTATCTTTTAATTTTAGAGTATCTCTCAATTTGGCTTTTCTGATTCTTTCATACGATTGGGTTCCAGTGGTAACTCTTTGGCAGGAATGCTACACATGGGATATTGTGTGTGTCTTAGGGTACTGGAGATGCAAATGTGAAGGTAGCGTCAGTGGGATTTGTTGACAGGTGAGATTGGCATTGCCAATAACTGTGATATGGGGAAGACTATGGGCAGGATGGGGCTTTTGGGGGAGGATCAGGAGTATAGGTTTGTATACAATGTCTGGCACGTGGTTAGGTGCTCACAGATGCCTGTAGTTGGATTTCATGCTAGTAAACTAATGACATGATTCCCATGAGGAGGTGAGCCAGTGGTGGTGCCCAGAGTCCTAGCTTTATCTGGTTAGAGATGCAGCCCTGGCACTATCTCATGGTATCCTAGCTGGACTCGACTTCCTGTCTGGTGCAGCCAGATGAGGGAGAAACTTTCCTTCTCTACTGCCTTCTCTTCCTTATTCTTGTCATGTCCCTTTCACCAGTCCCTTAATATGTTTGCCCTGTGTTTCCCACTTTACCAAAGGAGTAAGTAGACAGGCAAGTCAGGTTCCAGGTAGAGGATGTATAGACTGGCTAGTTCAAGGGTTTGGGGGCAGAATACCTGTATTACGTTGTATGTTTATATGGCGGGTTTGCTTAATAAAACTACTGAAACCTCTCTCTTTTTAAAAATCTCTCTCTCTCTCTTTCTTTTAAAGTTTAAACTCATATCCCAGGCATATGAAGTGCTTTCAGATCCAAAGAAAAGGGATATTTATGACCAAGGCGGAGAGCAGGCAATTAAAGAAGGAGGCTCAGGCAGCCCCAGCTTCTCTTCACCCATGGACATCTTTGACATGTTCTTTGGTGGTGGTGGACGGATGGCTAGAGAGAGAAGAGGTAAATGCTTTTAAAGAAACATATATAAGTTGTATGGTTTCCACAATTGTACGTGTTTTTGGAATCAGGATAGATCATGCTTTAAAAGGATATGATTGGACCAGGTGCAGTGGTTCATGTCTGTAATCTCAGCACTTTGGGAGGCCAAGGTGGGAGGATCGTTTTAGGCCAGGATTTCAAGACTAACCGGGGCAACATAGTGAGACCCCCCCATCTCAAAAAAATAAAAATAAAAAAATTAGCCAGGCCTGGTGACTCATGCCTGTAGTCTCAGCTACTTCTTGAGAGGCTGAGGCAGGAGGATGACTTGAGCCCAGGAAGTCAAGGCTGCAGTGAGCAATCCAGCCTGCATGAATGACAGGGTGGGGCCCTGTCTTTAAAAAACAAACAAACAAACAAACAAAAAAACAAGGTACCGTTGCCATGTTTTGGGATCATTAACTTTAAAGAGTGTATCACTTGTCTAGTGCTCAGGCTACCTGGAAACTCCTGGTAAATTTAGTAATTATCTGACATCCTCCAGTACGATATGAAGGAGCAAATGGACTGGTGGATAGAAAAGAGGAAGGTCAAGTTCATCGTGCCTTCTTTTCCTCTGTTGTTGGGGTCAGGCACCAGAGTGTGTTGAGGGATGTAAATGACACCTCCTGTGGTTGTCAGGGATCCTTTACGGAGAGTGTTCCTCTCCTCTCTTGCCCACCCTCCCTTTGTGGCCTTCCATTTTCCCTGACCTGGGCCTGGCTGCAGGCTCTCTAATTCTAGGTGGGTACCCTTGGCATGTTCAGTATGGCCTCATTTCCCAGCCTGCTCAGGGGATTTTCTAGGTAACAAATTTGACCTCTTTATGTTTTGAAATCTTTGTAAATGGCCTGTCTTTCTTTTCAGAATGCATTATGAGTAGTAGCAACTTCATCCCCAGGTGAATGAGGAACTTAGCCCTTAGCTCGGTGGCCCCAGGCCACTGTTTTGACTTTCGAGGGTTGCGCTTCCTAATTTTTCTGCATCTCTCCTTCTGCCAGACTACAGGCTGTTACCTCTGTTGTTAGTAGTTGCTAATGTTAGTAGTTGCCAATAGACTAGTTCCCATTCCCCCTGTTTAGTTTACTGTTGTCAGGCTGCTTTGAATCTTGAAACCAGAAAGATAAGCAGGCTTATTATAATTCTGGATAAAGTCAGAAGAAATGAACTCTGCCTTGGGGTTTAAGAAGTGTGGTTTTTGAGAGACCCCTAGATAAATGAAGCAGCACCTGTTATCACATTGTAATTGACTTTGAGCTTTAAAAAGCTTGGGTGTCAATTCTGTGAACACAGAGTGCTGAAAATCACAAAGTGTTTATTAGGGAAAAATCCTTCCCCTGTCCTTTGAGCATATTGCCTGCTCATATAATTGATGGTGTGCACGTGATTAAAACTTTGGGTATTCTCTTGTCCAGCCCCCTCACTGTCTTGAGATGAAAAACTTCATGCCCTTAAGTAAGTCATCTCTCAAAGTTGGCAGCCAGTAAACCAGGACAGCTCGTCTCAGTGGCTGCAGGAGCTCCACGGGCAGCAGGGAGGGTCTTGATGCTGTCAGTCTTGACAGGCTGGCGGGCGCTGGAGCACACGCCCACCCTCAGGACCAAACACCCACCGTCCTGAGTGCAGAAGCAAGATTTTGGCAGAGGAAAGAATTCCCATTTGGCCACCAGTTACAGAAGGGCTCAGAAAGTAAAGTGCTTTATGCCCAAGGAAGAGTTTGAAAAGATCCAGAGACTTTGGCTATCACAGATTTATGTATAGAAAGAACTCCTTTCATGGGGAAACTTAACCAACTTCGTGGGTTCATACTGCTTTTGGTTTCTCAATTAGTACTCTCCCTGTCCTCAGATTTGTTCTCCAAAAATAAAGGGGGAAAGTCTTTTTGTTGGCCTCTATAAATGATTAATTAGCTCATAGCTAGAGAAGGTATTAGCTCTTGTTATTGACTGAGGGCTAGAAGGATGGGCTGGGGTAATAGAAGCATTGCCTCCTGCAGGGAAGGGAGCGCGTGACCCATCCACAGTCTTGAATCTCTGGAGACTTCATACAACTAAGGGTCATATGGGTGGTATTTAATACAGTGGTATATTTCATTCAACGCCACTAATTTTTTTTCTCCCTTGCTAAGGCAAGAATGTTGTACACCAGTTATCTGTAACTCTTGAAGATTTATATAATGGAGTCACGAAGAAATTGGCCCTCCAGAAAAATGTAATTTGTGAGAAATGTGAAGGTAAAAATTAATTTTTGACTGAACCTCACAGTTCTGATCCCTTAGATTCAGAAACAATGCTTGTTTTAGTTCAGGGAAAATAAGTTATCTTATTTCAAAGGCAAGGGTCAAGTAGAGATTACAGACAGGTGGCCTGAGGACCACATCGCTTTGCCTGAATGAATGTTTTCTTTGGGCTGCACCTCTGTTTGACATGTTGACGACTATTTTTAAAAATTAAGAATCAGACACTTGACCTCATCTAGGGGTTGGCTGGCAGACTTTTTCTGTAAAGAGCCAGATTTTAGGCTTTCCAGGCCTTGGAGTCTTTTGTAACTAGTTCACTCTGCCATCATGTTACATAAATGAATGGACGTGCCTGTGTTCCAGTAAAGCTTTATTTACAAACCCAAGCAGTCCGGCCATGGTTTCTTGACCCCTGACTTAAATGTACATATAATTATTGTAATTTTTTAAAAATCTGAGTTTTCAAGAAAAGCCATGTCTGGTGACCCCAGCCTCACATTGTCCCACAGAGAGAATTGGCTGAGCTGGGTAGTTGCTACTATTGACAGAGCTTTTGTTCTCTCGATCTCCATAGCCCTAGCCTCCTCATTCATCTGTGGGCCTATGCAGGTTCCACCTGGGGTGGAAGAAAACACATTTGATGAAGCTAAAGTAATAAATTTGGATTGATGCAGCCAAAATCACAAACATTTGAGGTCAGATGTTAACATCTGGATGTTATCTGCTTGGCTGGACTCCTCCAGGCTCTTCTGCATTGTTTTTTGATTGTAAATAGAATTCTAAGCCCAATGTCCGATGTGAGGGTTCCCTACCCTTCTGCTGTGGCGCCCAGCAGGGACACTGGTAAGGGAAGAGCATGGCCCTCACTCCCGCCTCCCCCAACCCTGCAGGTGTTGGCGGGAAGAAGGGATCGGTGGAGAAGTGCCCGCTATGCAAGGGGCGGGGGATGCAGATCCACATCCAGCAGATCGGGCCGGGCATGGTGCAGCAGATCCAGACCGTGTGCGTTGAGTGCAAGGGCCAGGGCGAGCGCATCAACCCCAAGGACCGCTGCGAGAGCTGCAGCGGTGCCAAGGTGATCCGTGAGAAGAAGATTATCGAGGTACATGTTGAAAAAGGTGAGGCTGCGCAGAGCTGGTGCTCCACACTGACTGGAAATGCTGTCTGGGTGCTAATCGTGGGATACACAGGCTAGATGTCAGGGAAGTGAGCTGTATCACAACATGTATTGGGTGTGCCATGAATTCCTCTTGTGTCCCGGTCATCTTCTCTCCACCCTTCCTGGCCTTATTTCCATTCCATGTCACCTGCCAAAGTGTTCTTGCCGAGTTTTACTTCCTTGAGATCACAGACAGCCTCTTTATGAGATTTTCTAATGCTCCGAAAGTCTTACTTGGCCTTGGTTTTGGTTAGTTGCCATCTCCTGACATTCTCAAGCCATTCCTCTAGAATCTTTAGGATTGTCTTCCTGGTCGCTTCCAATGCTCATTGGCCGTAAGGGCTTGTTTAAGTGTTTGTGGCTGCATGTTCCCTTTCTCTCCACATTTCCCCATCTGGTGCATCAGATTCCCCCAAATACAGCACTGCTATTCATTTTGCCTGATGCCATCATTTTAAGGCCTTTTTCCATTTTAGCTGTCTTCCAAATATTCCCTGATGATTCTGTGGCTTTCCAATCCAGTGAATATATCCTAGATCAGATACGAGACCAAAAGTAAAAGAATTAACACCCAAACCGACACAGGTGTTATGAAAGGACTTACTGTTTAAACATGCCTGAACCCTGTGCCTTGAGTGTGCATAACGACTTGTTAGAAAAGGACAGGGCTGGCTGACCCCCATCAGTCCTTAGTCATGCACCCTGTGCCCCGGGAAGTGGGTGGTGACCCCATGCTGGCAGTGTGGCATCACAGGCTGGGGGAAGGGAGTGCTGTGGAAACCTGGGATGTAGAGCCGCATTCCCCCTCTCCCTGTGCATGCTGGGCCTGGCCCCACATTATGCCAAGGGAAGCGGGACCTCTTTTCTCATTGGCCATCCTAGCCACCCGTCCCTGCCTTGTGCCTGCATCAGATTGGGAGGCTTGATGAATAAAGAACCCCTGAAGGACTCTGTTCCTTCTTCAAAAGCTTTAAGGAAGCATGGTTTGTATGAGAAATGGCTAATCAGAAAGGGATGATGTTTCATAGGTATGAAAGATGGGCAAAAGATACTATTTCATGGAGAAGGAGATCAGGAGCCTGAGCTGGAGCCTGGTGATGTCATAATTGTGCTTGATCAGAAGGATCATAGTGTCTTTCAGAGACGAGGCCATGACTTGATCATGAAAATGAAAATTCAGCTTTCTGAAGCTCTTTGTGGCTTCAAGAAGACGATAAAAACATTGGACAATCGAATTCTTGTTATTACATCCAAATCAGGTAACGTTTCAAATGTGTGTTTCCATTGACGTTCTGTATGTTTGGCATAATTCCAGCAAGTTAGCCTGATTTTTTTATTGCTACATAACATTTTACATATTGATGGGGTGCATGTAATACTTTGTCCCATGCATAAAATGGGTAATGACCAAGCCAGGTGCTTAGGGCATCTGTCGCCTTGAGTATTTCTTATTTGTGTTGGGAATAGTTCACCTGATTTCACATTTAAAGTCAAATTCTGTTACACAAATTAGTATGACGTGATTTTCTCTAATTTAAAGTTATCCCTAATGACTCTGGATAATTTATAAAGTCCTTTTATATTCTCCTAGAAAAAATATTCGGTTGGAGGGAAAAGTCTCAAATAAGAATCTTGGGGCTCTGAAATTTTAGATGAAGTCTGCCAATTAAACTTAAATTTTTAAAAATTTATTTTTGTATAAGAAAACAGCTTAATAGGTGGTGTTTTTCTATCAAGTGGTGATTTGTGCTGATTCATCCACATGTTCCTGTAGCCTCTGTTGTTCATTACATGAGTTACATTTTAAAGTAGAATTTTCCTGTAAGAAAGACTTTGCCTATCAGCTTATCCTTGGAGGTTTCCATAGGCATTGCTGGTCTGCACACACCCATGGGAGCCAGAGGGAGATGCCTCTGGGCTGAAAGGGTTCCTGAGGGCCTGAGCTCAGCCCCCAAGCCCCTTGTAGACACTAGGGGACTCATCTCCCAGGAGGGTTTCTGTGTTCACTGCAGTGAGGGTCTGTGTGGGCACCAGAGCTCCTGCCTAGAAGGGGCTGAGAAAGGAGAGAGGCCAGGCCAGAGACCTTGACTTGAAACTGCTTCTGAATAGCACTAAGGTCAGCTGTGCATAGCAAAGAATGTCTGGATGGGTGTGGTGGTGGCTACGCCACCGAAGCAGCCTGGGCCCCAGCACCAGCCATTTGCAGTGTTGCTGTAGTCCCCTCACTGGCCGTGGGGCTGGGATTACCTTTTCCTATGGCCATTTGAGGTTTGGGGCAAAAGGGGTAGGTTCAGGGCAGGCACAGAGGTAACCAGCCAATAAGCCTGCCCCCAGGGCAGTGGCAGCTGGAGATAAGACTCAAGTCCAGTGGGGTGACTGAGGCCTGGGCTTCTGTTCCCTCCCTGTCCCTCTCCCCCTTCCCCTCCTTGCCTGCTTTCCTCTTCCCGTGCTCTTTTTCTCTTTCCTCTCTTGGATTCTTTCAGGTTCCTCCTTTCCTGGGGATAATAGGAAGCAGAATTATATATCCAAGGCTTGATCAGTTTTTGGGATTTTAAAATAAACTTATTTGGAAACAATTTCAAGCTTACAAAAAGTTGCAAATACAAAAATAGTCCGAGGTCCGCCCATATATGATTTGTCTGATGTTAACATTTTACCCCATTTGGTTTGTCATTTGCTCTGTGTCTGTTTTTATTTATTTTTAAAATTTGTTCATTTATTTTTTGAGACAGGAGTCTCGCTCTGTCACACAGGCTGAAGTGTAGTGGCGTGATCTCAGCTCACTGTAACCTCCACCTCAGCCTCCCGAGTAGCTAGTGCTACAGCCACATGCCACCACGCCCATCTAATTTTTATATTTTTTGTAGAGATGGGGTTTTGCCATGTTGCCCAGACTTGTGTGTGTTTTTATACATAATCAAGGATTGGGGGAAGCACTGCAGTATAATGCAAAATTTGCATGAAAATTTAAAATAAAACACCTACCCTTAGGCTTTCATAGACCTCCCAGGGCACCCATTTCTTCCCTCGAGAAGGAGTTTGAAGATCACAGTTTACATGAAGCCCCAGACCACTGGTTGTGAGCTCAACACCCTGGCACTGTGTCCAAGATGCCCTTACATGGTCACAGCCCAGATCCTAGCCCTCCTGAGCCGGGTCTGGGCGGCATCTGTATGTAACTTCTTTGCGAAAGACCGTCCTGTCCAGGGGTGGACTGTTTGAGGCTTGGGCCCTGCCAAGGGTCAGAGCCCAGTGTTCCTTGCTGCCTCAGCTGACCCCAGCCTGGGGAACCGGGAGCCAAATGGAGTGAGGGTGGCGGAGAAAAAGCCCCAGAGGGAAGGAAGTGGCAAATCCTAAGAAACCTATTTCCTTCTTTATTATAAGGAAGGGTGGAGCATCCAGGAAACCTGCCGTTGGAGAGTTCTTTGGGGATTTGTTTTCCTTTTTGTTTTTGCTTTTACTTTGTTCTCTTTTGCACCTTCTCCTTTTTTCTTCACCCCTCTTTTGTGTTGGCTTATTTCTTGTTTCTCCATCTTCTCTCCTCCCTCTTCCTCCTCTCTTCTGCTGTTGAAATGCCTTCTTCCCTAGAGCCCTTTAGCCTGTTATGAGCATTGCTGAGGATTGGATTAATTAAAAAAGTGATTTTGGAGCCACACAAGGGTGTGATGGCCCTGCCTGCAGGCGGGTATTTACCTGCCGGGAGAGCCGAAATTGTGGTGTTCTTCTACCTGTAGTTTTCCATGCCTCGTCAGTTTCCCACCTCCCGGTAAGCTGGAAGCAGAAGCATGGGGAGTGGAGCTTGAGAGCAGCAAGAAGTGACACCTGATAGGAATGGGGAGAGAAAAACCAGTCATGTGTCACTTAATGATGGGGCTACGTTCTGAGAAATGCATTGTTTGGCAGTGTTGTCGTGGTGTTCACTTGCACAGACCTAGATGGCGTAGGCTGCTACACCCTAGGCTGTGTGGCATAGCCTGTTGCTCCTGGGCCGAAACCTGCATAGCAGGTTGCTGTACTGAATACTGTTGGCAGTTGTAATATGATGCTGAGTATGTGGGTATCTGAACGTAGGGAAGGTGCAGTAAAAGTTTGGTGTAATCTTTGCAACCATCTTCATAAATGTTGTTGACTGAAAGGTCACTATGCTGTGCATGACTGTATTTCTTTTTTCTTTTTTGAGGCGGAGTCTTGTTCTATGGTCCAGGCTGGAGAGCAGTGGCGCAATCTTGGCTCACTGTAAGCTCCGCCTCCCGGGTTCACGCCATTCTCCTGCCTCAGCCTCCTGAGTAGCTGGGATTATAGGCACACCCTATCATGCCCAGCTAATTTTTCTATTTTTTTTTTAGTAGAGATGGGGGTTTCACTATGTTGGTCAGGCTGGTCTCGAACTCCTGACCTCGTGATCTGCCCACCTCGGCCTCCCAAAGTGCTGGAATTACAGGCGTGAGCCACCGCGCCTGGCCATGACTGTATTTCAGAAAAAGAATAAACAGGAACACAAAAAGCCAGCAGTCCGGAGCAGTTTAGCTAAGGGGTTGCTGTCCTGCACAGTCAGTAGGCTCTGAAGGCCATGTCTGAGCCACAGCCCTGCCCGTGAATGAACCTCAAGGATAGTCATTGGCTTACTTTATTTTTAAAACCTCCTCTTTAAAGATTTCCTCTTGAAGAGAGAGCTCACTTTCTAGATAGTTCCATATGGAAGTGGACTGCGGAATAAATTAGTGTTTTGATTCCCCTCCACCGTCTCCCCCATTTTTTCCAAACATTTCTTTCTGTCTTTGTCCATATTCATCGCTGAGCTGAAGAGTATACTTTATCAGAAACCCTTTTGTCCCTTTCCTTTTCCATGCTTAGAGGGAAGTTTCTGACTTGGGAGAATGCCTCAGAGTTCTTGGGGTCTGAACTCCCCTGATGCCTTGCAAAGTCACGTAGCTGTAAGACCCAGCGGGTGCCAGCCGGGAGGGTGACTCCAGCTCAGCAGCGTGTATGGAAGTGCATTGTGACCATGAAGGAGATTGCCTGTGGCCAAGCCACCTAGTGAGCTCCCTACCAAGGAACCTGGGTGTCACCTACAGGTGGCTGAGAGCCAGTTTTTATGCCAGGCAGGGGACTGGTTGGACTCTTGAGGCTTCTTCCTGTGAGGAGCATTCCTGTTCCCCTTGTGGTAGGAATACCTGTCACCCCACGAAGGGTCAGAGTGATGGTTGTTGGCCCCATTTTATGCAGACTTGGGTGTCATGACTTCTGGTTCACTTGTTTCAAACCTACCTGTGATGGTGGCTGCAGCATGCTGTCCCCTTGACACACTGCTGGAGCTCAGAGCACGGGCCAGGGGAGCACGGGCCAGAGTCCCAGCCCGAGCCCCAGCCCCAGGCAGTACCTGACAAGGATACCTGGGCTTGGGACCAGCTTTCCAGTCAGATGCCACGCTGCTTTTGCCCAGTGCCATGGGGTGCTAGGACCTGCCTCAGGCTCTCCCGTGAGGGAGAACGACCTCTGCAGGCCCCTCTGCCTTTCTGCTTCATAACTGACCCTTTCTCTGGCAGGTGAGGTGATAAAGCACGGGGACCTGAAATGTGTGCGTGATGAAGGAATGCCCATCTACAAAGCACCCCTGGAAAAAGGGATTCTAATCATACAATTTTTAGTAAGTTCACTGTGTTTCATTGTCGTGGACATATTAAATGCCTTAATTAGAAGGGGAAAAAACAGCCACCTTTCTTTCCCACCTCACCCTTTACAGGTAATCTTCCCTGAAAAACACTGGCTTTCTCTGGAAAAGCTTCCTCAGCTGGAAGCTTTACTGCCTCCTCGACAGAAAGTGAGGATTACAGATGACATGGATCAGGTGGAGCTGAAGGAGTTTTCTCCCAATGAGCAGAACTGGCGTCAGCACAGGGAGGCCTACGAGGAGGACGAAGACGGGCCCCGGGCTGGAGTGCAGTGCCAGACAGCATGACATGGTGCGGGGCAGCGTGGCCCCGCCGGACTAGCACATGATGAATGTAAAGTTGGCACAATGAAAATGGATCGCTTTAATGGCCTCATGTTTGGGATGTCCTGTGTACGTGTTCAGCATTCTTAATTGCTGAGTGTCTTTTTGGTTTTTATTTTGGTTGTAACTTAAGTTATAGCTTAACTTATATTTAAATGTTTTAAGTGTAAATCACCTCTAGTCTGTATATGGAATCTGTTCATTTCTATTTTCAGGATATACTTTTTGAGATGTCAGTGATTGCACCAACACTTTGTGCTTCTAGTGGCTTTGCCATAATTCAGTGTCACCAATAAAGCACAGCCCAGTTAGCAGCTCAGCCCCCTAGAAAACCCCAAGGCACAAAGTGGGCATCCTGGCCCATCTCTAGGTCTGTGGTTTTTTTCCCCCCTTCCTTGGCAGAGTTATTGAGGGCATGATCTCAGGGCTGCTACGATAACATTTCTGAGGATTCTAGATGATCCTCTTAAAGAACAAAAGCACATCCATGGATCGGACATGGCTGCCTGTGCCTGCTTAACAGGGCCAACTTAGTTCCTACTGTTCTGTGCCCTTCAGTGGATGGAATGTGAGTGTGTCTGATCATCTCTCTTCGAAGTTTTCTGAACCTTCCAAGCTCTGTGGTGAGGACAAACCAGTGTTTTGAATCATATGCTGATAACTGTTTGCCTGTGACCCTCACACCTTGTTCTTCATGGTTTTAATGATTTTCTGTTGACAACTTTTGCAATGCTTTCCCACCAAAGTGCTTACCTGTAAAGAAAACTAAATCGTTCTGTGTCCCCGGCAGCCTCAGTGCAGCAACGGAAGCCGAGGGAGAATGCTGCTGGTTTGGCCCATGGCACAGCCAGCTTCTCTGACCAGTAATCTGGGGTGACTTGAGGGTCTGCAAAGGCATAGAACTCCCCAGTGTTTTCCACCTCATTCTCCCAGATTCAGCTCCCTTCCAAAGGATCGTTCCTCTCATTGCACAGCCATATTACAAAGGGCTTCCTGCTCAAGTGATGTTTTGGTAAGAACTGCTCTGAGTTCCACTGTGGATTACAGTTTGTATGGACTACTACTATAAATTATAGCTTGTTTGGAGGGATATCAGTCATCATTTTATTCCTGACAGGTAGACTACAATTCGAACTTAGGGTTACCTCAGTCTTGAGCCATTATTGCTTATTTCTTGCCCCCAAGTCACAAAAAACTTGTAAGCTGTTGGGTTAAAGCAGAGGCCGCCTGTCAGATCTACCCTACCCTTATTTGGTTACATGGCACCTGAGAGTTTCACTCAGACCAGGGATCTTCCTTAGGAGGGTCAAAAAGCAGATCAGACCATGCAGAAGCAGGGTGAACCAGCTGCACGGACCAGGTTCCCGCAGAACATTGCTAGCTAGTGAGGCATAATTTGCTCAAAGTATAGAAACAGCCCACCTATGCCCACTTTGACCATGGGTCAGGATAGATATAAAATCACTTCTTTCCAGCCTAAGTGAAAAATCTATTTGTAAATGGACCACATCTCCGGGGTGTTGTTTCTGTGCTGTGACTTCCTAATTATTGCTAAAGAACTACTGTTTCGTTGGTGATGGAGTAAAATTACATTCAGTTCCTTCTTGTCATATAAGAGGAGTTTGGAGGGTGTTGCTTAAAATTTTATTCCACCTGTACATTTGTCACTTTAAATTAAAATTGAGCTGGTATGAGAGACAAGTGGCTTTGCTTTTTCATTTTTTCGAGAGTTCAAACAGTATTAAGTGCCAGCTTGCCTCTCATTGGTTGATATAATGGAATGAAGTTTCCACCCTCATGGAGCTTTATTTTGGGGATGGGGGTGAATGCAAACAAAAAGTAACTGCTATGAAGAACAAGAGGAATGGGAGTAAGTAGAAGGGAAAGGGAAGAAGGCCTCTACCAGGAGCTGGCATCTAGGCAGAATCCTGGATGCAGTTGGGGAGCAGACGTCCGAAGGTCTGGAGGGAAAACATTCCAAGCAGAGGAATGGCAATGATGATGTGGTTACAGGAGGGTGAGCAAGGCAAGCAGGAGGAAGAAGCAGGGGGCTATGATAAAAAGGATGAGCTTTATTCTGAGGGCAGTGAGTCATCTGGGGAAAAGCACATGACCTGACTCATAAGCATATTAAGTTATGATCAATAAAAAGCAACACTCTTCCAAGTGTTTAGCTACTTACATCTTTCTCATTAACGTGAGTCTCGAGGGGGCTGATGAGGAAGAAACTCTGAGGTACAGATACTCTGAAATAACTAAGGCAGAGCTAGTGTTCTACGGAATGAGGCACAGGCTTGAGCCTAGGCATTATTAAGGCAGCAAGAATAGCAGCCTGCCTTCCAATACCCACCTAGTGAGTTAGAGACCTCTCTGAAATTAATAAGGGGAAGGAGGGCTTGGCAGGGGACATCTTTAATACATCAAGTAGAAGGATGCCCAGATAGACAGGAGTACATAACGTTCCTATGCAGTCAAATATACTCTTTCCTTCAGGACTCCATTCTATAATAGACTAGCTTCTTTATCACAGCTCTGGGGAGCTCGCTGCTGTATCTCACTGCATGAGTCAATTCCCTGGAAGAGCCTGTATTTCTAAGCCGGAAAGTTAAAGAAGTGCCTGGATCTCTTGATGGCTAAGGCAGAGATTTGCTCTTAATGCCAATCCCTCTTACTGTTTCACTGGTAATAGGGTAACTGAAAAAAGAAGCATGTGCAAGGACACTGGTGTTTGCATTAAGAAAGCTTTATGTTAAAGTATGAACAGCATTCCCAATAAAACATGAAAAGATTTATATTGTATCTACAAAATTTAAGTCTTTGCTACAATAAATGCTATATTTCTTTTAAACAAGCCTAAAAAGGTAAGGAATGTCATGATCAATCCATACATTCTCTTTGCAGCATAAGCCTGGAGACTTTGATGTTTAAATTGGACAATCATAGATGTGAATTTCCTGGTCATCTCCAACAGACACAATTTTTGAACCATTTCCACTGTATTTTACTCCCCAGACCTGTAAATTTAAAAACAACAAAAGTTCTACAAATGCCTTTATTCTTTATAATATTTATGAAATGAGCATCCTTATTTTCTTGTTATTCTGAATCTACAAAAACTGAGATGAGGATATTCTTGTACTTTCTAAATCAGTGAGAATGGAGGCTCTAACCAAGCACCTTCCAGTATTGCTATTTAATTAGCATTCCTGTCCCTTCCCATACTCCAAAAAAACCAAAAAAAAAAAAAAAAAATCATTTTTAAATACAGTACTAACCAAGATTATCTATAACCCTTTCAAAGAGTCAGAATCCCGAGGTAACCTAGTGCCAGGAAGATGGAAGTCATAAGAGACCAACATTTATGCTTCCAGGAAGAAAGAGGCCCCACAACTACCCCGAGATCACTGCCTATAGGGGAAATCACAAACTCTGCTCCTCAGCTGGCCCCTTGTGTCCACCCCCCACGGTCAATAATTCTCACTCTGTTATGAGTGGCCTATGGAGCCTGCTTGTCCCCAGGAGCTAGACAACATGATATTGTGGACCATAGATTTTTATTTGCTATGTGTTGAATTAACGGATTCACACCTCTTTCCCAGATAGAATTGATGTGGTTGGAGTTTCTCTAGTCAGGAATAACTTCCTGATTATTAGGAGATGATTTTGGGTGGTAAGCCTGTCACCCTACTCTGATTTTAGTGTTGGGATTGGGCTGCATGATGGCCTTTCACTCCAGCCTCTGAAACAGCACTGCAATGATCCATGCATACAAGGCAACACAGCTAGCCAGGACTTACTCCTTGAGTAAGATGTTTAAATCCAGGAGTGGAATATCAAGATTCAACCCCCTCAATTTTGCTGGAAACAATTTAAGGTGAAAAGTAAAAAGCATGAACAATGTTAGTTAACTTTAAGTTTCATTTCAAAGAGGAGAAATCTATAGGACCATCTAAAAATATTTAAAATGTATTAAAAGCCAATTTTATACTGCCATGGACGTTTTATTTTTTTATGCTTAGTTCCCTAAGACCTTACAGTGTGGTTAGGACCAGCAGCCTTGGCCTCACCTGGGAGCCTGTTAGAAATGCAGAATCCCAGGCCCTGTGCCAGACCTAGTGAAGCAGCATCTGCATTTTAACTAGGTTCCCAGGGGATACAAGCACACATGAAAGACTGAGCCGTATTGCACTAGAACACCTTATTTCACACAGTCACCTTGGCAAAGACAAAGAGGCTTGTGAGAACAGTTTCCTTTTAAAGACTGAAACAAAAGTTATCAATACCACTAAAGCCAAAAAACTTGTAAGAATTTCCAGCTTCTATATTAAAAAAAAAAAAAAAAAAAAAAAAAAAATCACATCTCTTCTTTGGACAGTTCCAAAAATGACAAGTGATAAGCAATGGAATCTCCTGAAGACGAAGGTCGTTGGTGAGCCTGCCATGGCCCAGCAGCCCCCAGGAGAGGGCCCCAGACACCAGCTGCAGCAATTTCCAAAGATGGCATTTAAAGGCTGTGGGGCTAACACAATATCTTCCGGCCTGTGTGGGGATATGCCTCGTGAGTTGCTAGGCTGACAGCACATCCCAGCCTCTGCACCCCAGACTGTGCACAGGAACTCTGGCTACATGGATGACTGAGCAGACACAGCAGCTCAGGCCCAGGCATCTACTGGCATCTACAGCTCAAGCAACAAGGTTAGGAAAAGAAAACCTCTTTGGTACGATGGTCAAACAACCCCAGCTATCTAAAGAGGAAATAGTAATGCCATACCTGATCCTGGTGATCAAAGAAAGTGTGAACACACGTCCTCGTTCCAACATCCCAAACTTTTACACTTTTGTCAGACGAACTATTTTAAAAAGTGAACATTAGTATCGGTTTGAAGTTGGAAGGACTTCGACCAAAAATCCTTTGATGACTTACATTCTTCTAACTTCAGACCCCCCAGCCCCCACGCCTCAGTACAGGAAATGGACAGGTATTGCATCATCACTGGGTGGCTTTCCCTCCTCACAGGGTAGCCGTTTTCCTGAAATTCTGATCTGCCTGGCCCTCATTTTAATTGTTCTCCAGGAATCTCAGACACAGCTACCTATTTCCAGATGGGAGGGAAGCCTGTTAAAACTTCAAAACCAAGGCTCGCAGGAGGCCTCTAAAGCACTGTGCAATGCCTTCAAGTTGTCCATCTCCTGCTTTCCAACTGTCTTGGCCATCCCAGGGCTGACCAACACTGAGATCTATAAACAACATTTTACAAACATTTACATATTTTAAGTTACCATTGGAACACAAGTCTACCTTAGAGTCACTTTGGTAGAAGCCTCAATTTATAATGAAAAAACTAAGAGTTTAACTGTTTAAAAGGATTCCTTGTTGACTTTTGTTCCAGCTAAGGTCAACTAACTTCACTAAGTAAAAATTTTAAGAACTGCAGAAAACAAAGGCTAACTGAATAAAAAAGAGTCAAACATCTTTAAATGTTAAGGCAATCTATACAGGAAGACTGCCCTCATCTCCCCAGCATTTTAGAAACTGCTAAGAATCATTAAGTACCTGGAAACAAAGTGAGTGTCATCAGGACAGAACGCAACGTTCAGCACCCAGGAGGCATGGCCGCTCAGCGTGCCAGCCAAATTGGCATGTTGTCTGAAATGGGAAAGGTTCAAACAAAATTGAGATGTTAATTTCTAGAGTATAATCACCGAAGTAGAAAGTTTATTATTAACTCTGCCCATAAACTGGATCAAATCTGCTATCCTTATAATGACCATGAATACTATATCACAAATTCCCCTTTCAATGAAGTAGCATCATGCATTAGAGACAAATTTTAATAGCAGCATTAACCCATAATGTGTTGATGCTACTAAGAGCCAAGAATAAAATCTTTAACAAGCAAAGAGCTGAAGCTCAAAATGAACAAAGAACTACACTATAGAGGCTTCGCAAGCCAACCCCTAAGATGAGGAAAATGAGAACCAACGGGGCAAGGAAGCTGTCTCAGGAGAAGGGCAGGTTCAGACTCCTGCCTGCACCGGCAGCCTTTCCATATGGAGCCAGTGCTCCCAGTCCAAGGAGAGCGTCAAGATGTATTCATTATGACAGATGCAGCTTGGAGAGACTATTTTAAACCTAATCAAGAACAAGACAGGTCTAATTACAACAGCTATTTTCACTTTTTTAATAAAAATGAAACCCAATCACCTCTGGCAAGAGAACCACCATAAGGCCTAACTGAGGTCAGCAATTTTACCCCTGAACACAGAACCCAGCAGAGTGGAGCAGACCTCAGTTAGGGGCCAGGAGGCAGTCTCAGTGGGATACAGTGGGACCATGGGAGGATAAGAAGTCCTGGGCCTTAGTAAAAAGATCAGTAGTTGCTAGGGGCTCAAGGTGGGAGGAAGGGATGATCTGGTAGAGCATGGGATTTTCAGGGCAGTGAAACTATTCTGCGTGATACTGTAGTTAGTGGTGACTACACGTCATTATATATTTGTTAAAACTCATGGAATGTACAACACAAAGAGTAAACCCTAATGTAAAATATGGACTTTAATTAATAATAATGCATCAATATTGGGTGAAAAAAACCAGTCTTGGGTCTTCATTCAGTACCACCTCCTTGGGCAAATCACCACCTCAGCTTGGGTTTCTCATGTGCAAAATGGGGACACTAATCTGTGCTGCTACCTCATTGGTTGCTGGGAGGATCAATAAAACAGTGGCAATGGAAATCATAAAGTCACAAATGTAAGGAACTGCTGCATTTATACTGCCTCTGCCACTATCAGGCAAGTACAACTCTACAAAGATATCTTTCCCTCTCGGCTGTAGCTCCCTCATTCAGTTCTAATTCCAAAAACTGCAGTTAGAATTCTATGTCTAGCTGATAATCTTTTGCCATAAAAAACTGCATTTTAACCAGAAGTGGCTAGAAGGAGCAGAGTTCCTACTGTGAGGTTTAAACTCGCAAGCAACTATCACAGGCCCCTGAAAGAACACACACGGATGGTCAGGGTTGCAGTACGTGCAGGTGGAGGGGGTCTTGGCACCATGGCTAGGGTCGGAGTGTGATATGTACCTGCAGTGGATTAGAATGCCATGTTCAGGAGCAATGAGCCAGAGGCACGCCTGGCAGGGAGAGCTGACCACAGCACTGAGTCACAGTATCAAGAACACAGATCCAACACATTACAGGGGATACCTCAGTAGGGAATAGGAGTCAGGGCTAAAGATGATGGGGGAAAACAAGAAGACAAGGGGGTCTGCACAGGTTTACAATGATGGCTGTGAATGAAAGAGGATGATTAACTTGCTTCTATACTCATAGTCAAAGGCCAAAACCAAAAACACTCCCATCTAGACCTGTAGCAGGCTTATAAACTGACTGTTCCCTAACTAGGGCAGAGGCATGTCTGCTAGAACAGCCCTACCCTTGAAAATGGATGCTCTAATTTTTTCCTGTCCCCAGGGGCCAGCTACAGCCCATGGCTCCATTTCCTCATCTGTATATTACTTACCTATCCCAAAGAATTTGAAGTCAGTAAGCTCACAAAAATCAAGCTGCCTAAGAAAAAGTAGCAAGTATCTGATCCTACCAGGGAACCCATGCACATCCTCCTCCAAGCAGCCCTTGAGGACACACACTAAAAATGGGCGCTGAATGGGGGAGGACTGCCTGGGGAGTCAAGGTGTTCAATGTGACTTGAGCACAGGTCTTTACTAGGGCTGCTCCCTAGGGCTCCTTGTAACAATAAGGGGACAAGACGGACATCAGCAGTAAGGGAGACACCTTGAATCTCGACAGGTAACTTACACATCATAGATCTTGATGTATCCATCATCTGAAGCAGTGACAAGGAGCTGGGAGTCCGGGGAAAAGGTCAAGGAGCGAATGGGCATGGCATGGCCTGAAATTCATAAAGGCCCTTGTTAATCTGGTGAACCACTGCCTCCTCACTCAGCTTCCCACTGACAATGTCCCTTTTAATGATTACAAGCCACTGAGTTGAAATACCCAGGTGCTTCAGGCAGAAAAGCAAGAGTTCTGACTGGGCCTTTCATCTTAATGTTCTCGAAACATCCACATAACCCCAGTCTCTCCTCCTGGAGCCATTTCTCTTTAGTTCCCTTCCCTGCCCTCAGCATGCATTGCTTTAAAGAACTTCTCTACTACAAATATGGCCACACAAGGAAATATACATTGCTCCTGATTTGTAAGGTTGAACAAATTAAGATGTTATTTCCCTATCAAATCCTTTATTACAGTGTAAAGGATAAACTATAGCAATGTGAGGAGGTAATAAGGTCACTTGATTAGAATTCAAAACCGCACGAAAGTATGTGTAATAAGGTCTCCCTCCAATCTACCCCTGTTCTTTAGCTACCCAGTCCTCCTTTCCAGAGGCCACCAGTGTGGACAGTGGGCACAATACTTTCATCCACCTTCAAATTATCAACAAAAAGTTGTTTTCAATCACAAAGTTCGTCAGAATCCAAAATGACAGAAATGAGACATTCATATAGCAAATAAATATTAACACACACATATATATAATGTGATAGATTATGATATAATCAATAAAAAGTAAGTCTGTTCACCCAAACAAGCATTTAACACTGTTACAAGAATTAGTATGTCTAGGTTAAAACTACAGTGACAGGCCAGGTATGGTGGCTCATGTCTGTAATCCCAGCATTTTGGGAGGCCAAAGCGGGATGATCTCTTGAAGCCAGGAGTTGGAGACCAGTCTGGGAAACATAACAAGACCCCATCTCCTCAAAAAATTTAAAAACTAGCCAGACATCATGGTGTGCACCTATAGTCCCAGCTACCCAGGAGGCTGAGGTGGGACAACCCCTTGAGCCCAGGAGTTCAAGGCTACAGTGAGCTATGATCACACCAATGCACTCTGGTCTGGAAGCAAGACCCTGTCTCTAAAAGGAAAAAAACAAAAACAAAAACAAAAAACCTATAGTGACAAGATTAAAACCTGGAGGCATTTCAGTTTTCCAACTGAGATTGATATTTTGTAAATCTAATGCCCGTTTGCCATTTAATGGCATTTTAATGAAAGAATAATTCTTCCTTTGTGATTTGATAACCAAGTTTATAAAAATAAGATGATGATATATACCTTCCAGCGTATGCAGAAGTTTTCCAGTTGCAATATCAAAAATATTGATGATTCCATCTATGGCTCCACTGGCTAGGTATTTCCCATCAGGACTCTGTTCAGAGAACATATGGAAAAATTAGCACTTTCAGACCCCATGTTGTTAAGCTACCCCTACCAAACTCAAGCAAACCTCCTGCTGTCTACAGGTCTAACCAGCAACCTGGCAAACCACACCAGTGAGAGAGCAGCTGCCTGACCAGACCAAGGCAGAATCTGTGCCAAGGACTGCAACAGGCTGGAAGGGCAAACTGAAAGAATCAGAAGGAGAAAAGAGAGCAATGTTTCCTTACATATGCAATACTCAGAATGAATTTCCCTCTCGTGTCCAAAGAATACTCCTTTTTCCCACTTTCCACACCAAAAATGTTCACTTTGCCGACATGAGTTCCTGTGGCCAGATACTGGGAATCAGGAGAAAAGGCCAAAGTCCAGGCATCCACTGAACAGAAAAAAGAAGGACAAAAATACAGTGTAAAAAGATTTGGCCTTAATTTTAAAAACTAAAGTTTTACCAAAAGACACATCTTTTTAAATTGGAGTAGCAGTGTCCTGATTCAGAAAATTATGTTGTAAAGACGCTAATTCTTTATCAAGTTTAGATTGAGTTTAAGGGTTTCTTAAATTTTTAATAAGAATAGGACAACATCAAGTGTTAGCAAGGATGTGGAGAAACCAGAACCTTCATACACTGGTGGGAATGTAAAATGGCACAGCCACTTTGAAAACCAGTTTGACAGTTTAAGTGAAAACACCATAATATCCAGTAATTCTACTCCTAATGAAAACATATGTCCACACAAAGGCTGGTACACTCATGGTCTTCGCTTCCTCCTACTTTCTCACTTCTCCATGACTGGGGATTGCCTCTCTTCTTTTTTTCTCTTCCTTTGTGGTAGTTCAGATTCTCCATGCATATTTTCAAGATAGGTAGAAACTAAGTGTTCATTTTCCCTACATTCATCAGACCCAAACTCATCTGAGGAGTTTTACCTTCAGATGAATTTAGCTGCTCTTTAGCTGTCAATAGCAATGCTTGCTTTTGTTACTGGACCAAATAACTGTTGGCTGTTTAATGGCCTTGTCTAGTTTTATGCAGAGTCCTATCCAAAAAGAAAATAAACCCAACTTTCAGACTCCATTCTTCTATCTTTTTTTTTTTGAGATTGAGTCTCACTCTGTCACCCAGGCCAGAATGCGGTGGTATAATCTTGAGTTCAAGCTATTCTCCTGCCTCAGCTTCCCGAGTAGCTGGGACTACAGGCGCACACGATCACGTCCAGATGTCCAGCTAATTTTTTGTATGTTTTAGTAGAAATGGGGTTTCACTATGTTGGCCAGGCTGATCTTGAATTCCTGATCTCAAGTGATCCACCCGCCTCAGCCCCTCAAAGTGTTGGGATTACAGGCATGAGCCACCACTACCACGCCTGGCCTCTTCTGTCTTTTTCATTCATAACAGTAACTTTTAAAACCTTGCCACACTTGGACAACACCCAGTAAAAGGTACTGTTTATCAGGGAAAGTGAGCTGGATACATACGCCATCCTTTTACTTGGAACCAATCCAGCAATGACTTCTTCAGCTGCCTCGTGCCCAGCGCTGCAACCAGCATGCAATGACACCAGCATTATGACCCCTAGGAAAGCTTAGGTGCCCAAGATGAAAAGGTAGAAACAGTTCTGCCTCTTCCTCTTTTCTTAAGACCATACTTATATATTAGAGTTTTAATGGACTTTGCAGGATAGTTTGGGGACCCAAGTCCTCTGTAAGTAACGTAAGCAGAGTAAGGGCACATGTAAAGACAACCATCTGGGGAGTCAGGGTGCGTCTGGGTAGCTTTTTCCAAATATATATCCCACCCCTCGTACTCCAAACACTATGATTCAGTGGATCCAAAATATGGACTGGGTATGCACATTCTTAAAAGAGCTCCAGTGGTAAGAATTACAGACAAGAAATATTGCTTCTGAGGGAAAATGCACTCAGTTTCCAGACAACCCAGCCTCTTTAAAAACTCTGGAACCATCATTATTTCCAATACAGGAAAAGCCTAGAGTGGCTACTGAGCATAACTCATGGGAGGTGAATCCATCCAGGGCATCAATCAGGGAACTGTGTTCATGGAACACCTAAGCAGCTCTTCTATCATCAACCCACAAAGGGGTGTGCCACAGAATGCCAGGCTATTCGCACCCTCTAGCGGTTACCACCCGTTCTGGCACAGCAGGTTCTGCTGGGGAAAGTTGTGCAGCCATTTATAAGTAAATGTGAAGCTCAAAAGAATCCTGAAATGTCCTCTGTGCTCCACATTAGTCAGCCTATGACATCATTGACTTCCGTCATCTCAGATGATGTTTACCAAGGCTGATGGACAAGATTACGCTGTTCTACAGTACTTAAAACAAAAAAATCGATGTTTCTTAAAAGTTTCATAGGTATCACATACCAGGAATCATACCCTTTAATCAAAATGAGTAGAGATGACCATGATACACATCTATAAGGACCCCATGCTTTACATTCTAGGCTTCCATAAGGCAGTGAATGAATCAGCTCAGAATATGGTAAATAGAGAACCTCTGAAAACACAAAATAAGGTCAACAACCCCAAACCAGCAGTTCTGAAATCCAAAAAGCTCTGGAAACTACTAGCTTTTTCCACAGGTTTACTACCAAAATTCATTTGGCAGCAAAATCTAAGCTGAATTGACACAGGGCTATTTATAGCCTTTATTTATCTCACTTAGTGTAAATACTCACGTTTAGTTGCAGGGTGTTTCATGAGTGCTGTTTCCAGCCCCACTGAAGGTATTATGTGAAATACAGTTCATGCACCCATTATCATCCCTCTCAAATCCAAAAAATTCTGAGCTATAAAACACATCTATCCCTAAAGATTTTGGAAAAGAAATCATGAGCCTCCATTATCTCCCCTACAAGTAAAACTCTTACCAGGTCCTGCATCTATGGACTTTATCTGTTTGCCATTTTCCAAGTCCCAAAGACGAATATGAGCATCAAGAGAGCTGGATGCAGCAATGGGCAGGGTGTGGCTGATGTCCACAGACACCACTCCCAGCTGATGTCCCTCCAGACTCCACTGTAGGTCCAGCCTCTCATCACGCCTTCAACAGGGGACAGAGAAATGGATTTCTTCACACAGAACACACTTTACCTGGCATCTGAAATTCTGGGTCCCTGTGACTATGCAATACCAATGGTCTATGAAATACAGAATCAGAGAAGAGTTAATGAGCTACAGAACACCAAATGCTGCCAGGTTTTCAATGTAGGACTTTAAGATTTTTTTTAAACTTTAGGGCTTTAATACAGAGTAACAGGAAAACAAGTGGGAAAAAGAAGCTGCTGTTTTATACCACCAGATTGCTATAGATTTCTTGCCTAGAAAAAAGTATTTCCCAGACTGCAACTGGCGAGTTCAGAAGCAAAACCTCAGCCCCCAATTTTCCAAGGCTGTATGTTAGGGGAGAGGTACTCACCATTTCCAGACCTTCACCAGGTCATCCAGGGAGCCTGTGACCACTGTCTCAGAGTTTTCCTTCTTGTTTGTCCCCCAAGCAACTGACCAAATGGCATCATCATGGGCTAGAAAGGAAAGTAAAGTCTCCTTGCATATGACTTAATGAAGCTGAAATACTGTTCAACAATTGTAAGGTAACGTTTATTTGTATTTGCTTTACTATTTTACAAAGTGCTTTCCTATACAGCTTTTATTGAAATTTTGGGGCCACATATGAAAATTGGAGGTTCTGAAGAAGCTACTTGCCCTAAATCTCATGCTTACCAGATGGGATGGTAGTACTTTGGACTCTAAATCCAGTGCCCTTTCTTTTAGCATGCTATCTGGTATATAGCAGTCTACAATGGCTATCACTTGGCTAAAACAAGTAAAACCAGTGGGAAAGACCCCCTCCTACCAAGAAAAGACCTAAACCCAGTAACAGATACTCCGTAAAGATCTTTGGAAACGAGTAGGCAGTTCAATTCTAAACAGTATAGATCTAAAAGAAAATACCTAATATAGCCTCCATATATTAAGTTGCCTTTCCCCACAATTACCTTTATTATGGTTAATGGGCCAATTATTACAACAATCCTAAGAAGTGGGTACTATTAATATCCTCATTTATAGACAAGGAATGAGAGGTGCTAGCATTCAAATCCAATCTCTATTAATTAAAGTCTACCTTAAATCTAAGTCTGTAAGCTGCAGGTTTGGTAGGCCACACCGCTGTATGTGCAGACCCAGTGTGGATGTAAAAATGTGACAAGTGCACATGGAGGCTTTACCACTGCCTGGCAACAATTCTCCAGTGATACCTTCCCAAAATATGAATATAAAGGCATTAAACTTAAACAGCTGTGCATTACAGACAGAGTTGTGGCTTCCATTTCAAACCCCACCTAACTCAAGCCTGCTAACTTGCCACCTGGATGACAATAGCTACATATAAGGTAGTTGACTGGCATGCCCAATTAGCCTACTAGTTACTTACACTAGCTAACCTGGATGATGCTGTTGGCTTAAATGTCAAACTACCTACAAGTCACTACTTAGAGAGGAAGAGCTTTGATTAGGCATTCCACAAATTCCTTAGGCCTTCCTAAACTCATCGAGGCTATAGTGAAGAAATGAGATGGGTGAGTAGCCCGTGCACAGACATGACTCCTTTTTGGGTACAAAGCTCTGGACCACTGGTTAGCTACAATCCCAGCCCACTCTGACCTGCGGCCTGCTCTCCCATCCCTGCCACTGCCACTGCTGCACAGCTCCCAGCCCTCCCCATGCACTCAGTGGCCTCAAAAGAAATTCATCTCACTATTATAGGCATCACTTTCATTAAGGGCCAAAGCAAGTTCTAAGTTCAGAAAAAGGCTCACGTTCACCTCCCCGGATGAGCCGGCATTAACAGAGTTTTGAGGCTCAAAGCATTTCCTTCTTCCACCTCGCCAGCTGGGAAGCTCGGTCATGTCTTCCTTGGGTGGGAAAATTTTCCTCAGCCTGGAAGCCTCCAACCTATCATGATGACTGCTTTTTTTTTTAGTTGGTTGTTCAGGTTTTTGTTGTTGTTGTTTGTTTTTTTAAGAGTATTTGTTTTCAGCTGCCAATTCTTCCGCAAAGTGAGTATACTTGAAAACTGCATGTCTGGTCAGCATGACAAAAGTCTTAAAGAAACCAGGGACAACAGTTTTTTTCACAGATGAATTGCTTAAACAGGCAGGCTACTTACCTTGCTCTTGTTTGAAGAGAATACCATACTAAAAAAAGAACAGAAGCCACATTAAACCCATGGTCAGATTTCAGATGTCTCACATTGCCTCCAGAAAGCACTCCTCCCCAAGTAGACAGAGTCACTACAGCGTTAGTTACTTCCTCTGCTGTCAACCTGGCCATCCTACAAGCTCCTTGATCCCCACTCATGCAAGATTTGTACAGTCCTATCAGAAAAAAATTATTAAAGAAACTGACACTCTCTCCCTCTTCCTACTACCCACACTCACCCAACAAGACCAATAAATTATGTTTTCTTTTTCTGTTCTGCTCACCAAGGAAGCTCAGAGTCCAGTTTGCAGCTTAAATTTTGCAGCTGCATAAGAGCACACAGCATGCATAACAGTCTATTAACTTTGTCCCTAATCTTATTACAAAGATCTGTTTCTCCTGTTCTATCTTCTATTCTGATCTTGCTGTTTTTTTCTTTTGTACAACATCTTTTAAGCTTCTTCTATTACTCACTAAACTGTGGTAAAGACTTAGAGGAACCAGTCCTCCTCTTAGTATTTGCATTTTACTAGTCCCACCTAACACTGTGGTAACTAGGCGACTAGGTACCCAGGGTCATCCAGCTCTTTAGGAGCAGGGCAAGAATGAGATGCTACTTTCTTGACTACACATCCAGAAAACCTACTGGACTTGAACTTGGCAAAGAGACCAACTGATGTTCTTCCCTTCAACACGGCCCTTACCTGGTTGGTCATTTCCTTAACCAAGGATCAAGGGCAAAAGGCCAGACAGTTCTGTGGAAACAACACCAGGATTTCAGTGAGGGGTGTCATCAGGATAGAAGGGCACACAGGAAGTTCCCCTTGACCAAGAAAATAAGGCAACTCCTTACTATGAAGTTGTTCTGACACCCTTCTATGGATCAGTCCCTGGAACCTCCTTCACACTCCCTACCAGGTGGTATGGTCTTTTTTCTTCCTCTGAACCTAGGGACTCAACTAACAGCTAACCCCATCCCACGGTTTCTTCACCTCAAGTGTGACTACAGAGAGTAACCAGTCTCTGTCCTTTGCTGCTTTTTAGAGAGAAGAAAACCACTTCTCCTTTTAATATTAAATATTATTTATTAAAAACAAACAAGGGGAAATCCAAAGATGGTAAAGTTCTTATGTTACATGCAAAGGTCTCAACCAAAAATGCCTTTAAGAGCCAATAGTCAGGTAAATAAGGGCAGAGGCTGGAGGGAGACACGGTGTCAAGAGATTGAGACCATCCTGGCCGACATGGTGAAACCATGACTCTACTAAAAATACAAAAATTAGCTGGGCGTAGTGGCGCGCACCTGTAGTCCCAGCTACTTGGGAGGCTGAGGCAGGAGAATCACTTGAACCTAGGAGGCGGAGGTTGCAGTGAGCCAAGATCGTGCCACTGCACTCCAGCCTGGGGGACACAGCGAGCCTCCATCCATCTAAAAAAAAAAAAAAAAATAGCCGGGCACAGTGGCTCACATTTGTAATCCTAGCACTTTGGGAGGCCGAGGTGGGCAGATCACGAGGTCAGGAGATCAAGACCATCCTGGCTAACACAGTGAAACCCCATCTCTACTAAAAATACAGAAGAAAAAAAAAAAAATTAGCCGGGCGTGGTAGTGGGCACCTATAGTCCCAGCTACTCGGGAGGCTGAGGCAGGAGAATGGCGTGAACCCAGGAGGCGGAGCTTGCAGTGAGCCAAGATCGCGCCACTGCACTCCAGCCTGGGTGACACAGCAAGACTCCGTCTCAAAAAAAAAAAAAAAAAAAAAGATCTAATTTCTCAGGCTACATTAAGGGCTAATGGTTCTTATTTCTTTGTGTGTGCCATAGACCCCCTTTAGTGGCCTTTTTTTTTTTTTTCAAGATAGGGTCTCGCTCCATCACCCAGACTGGAGTGCAGTGGTGCAATCATGGCTCATTGCAGCTTCAACCTCCCAGGCCAAGTCTTCTACCACCTCAGCCCCCTGAGTGGCTGGGACTACAGGTGCGTGCCATGCCTGGATATTTTAATTTTTTATAGAGATGGGGGTCTCCCTATGTTGTCTAGGCTGGTCTTGAACTCCTGGGCTCAAGCGATCCTCCTGTCTGGGCCTCCCAAAGTGCTGGGATTACAGGTGTGAGCCACCAGACTCTGGCTCAGGATGTCTTTACAGAAAATACACAGGTTTAGAAATGAAACCAATTATAGTAGGTTCTCATTATTCACAACAATTATGTTCTAAGAAGTTGCTACAGACACCAGTTATCCAATAGAGAACCACTGTTCCTTGGGAAACTGGTTCCTGAAAGCCTCTGGGCACATTCTTGTCAACCAATCAATATATAATCATGTTTTATGTGTGTTTATGTTTAAAGGCACTTACTGAATATACATTAGTAATTCATTAATATTGAACTCATACCTAAGCAAAGCTTATCTAACACACATATTTTCGCCTTAAGACAAATCACAGACTTCTTGCATTTAGAAACACTTCAGCACAATGCTTGGGGGCTATCTCAAACAGTGGAATCACCAACAAAAAGCACAGAGAAAAACGTTGCACCAAAGACTGCAAAAATGACATTTGCTTGCAATATGAGAGCTGACAAGAAGGCAGTGTCACCTTGTTTGACTTCAGCTGAGAACATGCGCATCAAGCGACTAAAATTTTTATGTGAAAAAAAGTCATGTCTTCCAAAGACCACAAAAGCATTTTAAGTATTAATGTGGGGGCTACAGATAAATTTTAGTGAGTAGGTGAATTCGTAAATACAGAATCCACAAATAATGAGGATAGACTATATACTAAAATTTTATTAAAATACAAAAACGTATGTGCTTCTTTATTGGCTCATTATATATGCAATCTAGAAGCAAATTTAATAACTACCATAATTTCAAAGTTGTAAATGAGCTTACACAATACCGTGATATGAAAATATCTGTAATTTATATTCATAACAAAGTCACACTGCTAATAATGTGATTTATTGCCTACATTCATAGTGGAAGAAAATGCTAAATTTCAGTTGGAGGTTAGGAAACAAAGATGCAATTTTTCCTCTCATCCAAGTTCACGGCCCTCGCAGTTCTACCCACTGTCAGTTTAAGGGACCATACAGTTAAGGCAACCAGGTTCAGGTTACTTTCTTTAAATCTGCCAGCCCAAAAAAGCTGCCGAAGGTTTTCCAATAACAGAAAATCAAACAAACAATTTATAACTAATCCTTGCCTATGAAGATCTCAAATTGGTAGTGTTTTGTTTTGGTTTTGTAAAGACAAGGTCTTATTATGTTGCCCAGGCTGGTATCGAACTCCTGGCCTCAAGCTATCCTCTTGTCCTGGCCTTCCAAAGTGCTGGGATTACAGACAAATTGGTAGTGTTTTATTCATTTGTGACCCATGAACAGGGTTCTTTCTGCCCAGGGTAGGAAAGACAGGAAAGCACTCGAGCCAGTTTGGCTAATGGGAATGGTATTCAACCTCTGCTTGAGCACAGCCTTCTGCCTGCTGAAGCACAGGCTTGTCCTCTTCCCTGTCATTCTGGGCCTCACATTTGGCAATGGATAGAAACAAAAAAAGAAGTAAGGCTTGCGGTAAGTCAACCTCCAAAAACCCGGATTCCAAAAGACAAGGGTATGATTCTATCAATGAGTGCACATTTGAGGATGTACAATGAATCCGGTCCTATTTTAAGTAACACACAAAGATTAGCTCACTGAAACCTCATAACCCCATTTACTAGGTACAGTAGTTCTTTAGCTGAGGTTTTGATTTCCACAGTTCCAGAGGTCAACCATAGTCCAAAAATAGGTGAGTAGTGTGCAGTAAGATATTTTGAGAGAGACCACATTCACATACATTTTATTACACTGTTATAATTCTATTTTATTATTGTTGTTAATCTCTTACGGTGCCTAATTTATGAATTGAACTAAGTAATCATAGGTATGTATGTGTAACCTGTATGAGAAAAAACACAGTATAGATGCTTCTCAACTTACAATGGGGCTACTTCCCAATAAACCTATGTAAAGTTGAAAAATTTTACATAGGTAAACCACGGTAAGTGGTCAGGGTCCACGGTAAGTCGGTCAGGGTCCTTCACTATCCAAGATTTCAAATATCCACTGCAACGTACACCTCGCACTATTTTCTTATTATCAGTTCCACTTTTCTAATAAGAAAATGGAGGCTTAGAAGCGGTTAAGGAAGCCCCCAAGGGACACTATAAGGTGGATACAATCTATAGTATATGCTACCAAGATACACTACCTCTTACTTCAGGGTCTTATGAAGGTCAGAGCTAAGAGACTTTAGACCTTAGCCCTCTCCTGCCATCTTCTCTCTTTGGGAAACTTTTCCCTAATTTTCCCAGGCAGAATTTATCACTGGCTCAGTGTTTCCAAGGAACACTACAGATGCCTCGATGAAACTACTCTGGCAAGTCAAAAGCCCACAGTATTGCACGGTACTTGGCGTAAAGCGAACCCAGCCTCTGTTTGTACCCGTCCAGTGATGTCTATATCTGTCCAGAACGCTACCTAAGAAGACAAGAGTGGCCCACTACTGGAAAACTTCGGTTAATACCGTCCTCCCACCTACGGATAACTGATCTCCTCCGCAGAGAAATCAGCCCTAATCTCGGTGCTGCCCAGAACATTCTCAGGACGCAAAAGGAGGCCACCTACGGGCCTCCCCCTCTCCCCTCAGGCCCCGTACACCGAGGGACAGCCAGGGCAAATGGAGTAACGGAAGCCACCCTCAGCTCCCAGGGCCTGCAGCATCCCTGAACGGATCTGCTTACAGGCAGCGTCGGGCCCAACCTCGCTCACCCGCCCTCTGGCCTGGACCGTCAACTGCCCTAATGACCGCCATCCCCAACGGCCCTGCGGTCCAACTCACCACTGCCCTGCCAGGCTGCACGTCGGAAGCCGGGCTCAGCGCGACTGCGACGCGCAAAGATGAGCTAACGAGGGGGCGGGGCATTGCGCCGGCCCCGCCCTCACGGCGCGGAGCACGCCGCAGCGCCCCCTGCCGTCGCTACGCCGGGTGCGGGGCAGATGCCGAGGGCGAGTGGGCGGAGAGAGGAGGGAGGAAGCCGCGCCCTGCTTCCAGAGGCGTGGTAGCTGGAAATTTGCTCCCGGAAGCGCAGACGTTTAGCTTCCGGCAACTGCAGGTTTGGGGGCTTGTGTTGCAATTTCATTGCAAAATAAATTTGTTGCTAAAATAAATTCAGTGAAATCGAGCTTTGTCTTTCAAACTGCTAGTCATAACCCATTAGCGTGACAGATATCAGTTTAATAGGTTGTCACTGGCATTTTTTTTTTTTTTTTTGGAGGGCCAGGCAGAGTGGCTCACTCCTGTAATCCCAGCACTTTGGGAGCCGAGGTGAGAGGATCGCTTGAGCTCCTGATTTCCAGACCAGCTTGGGCAACATAGCGAGAGACCTCGTGTCCACTAAAATTCAAAAAAATTAGCACATGCCTGTAGTTCCAGTTACTTGGGAGGCTGAGGCAGGAGGATTGCTTAAGCCCTGGAGGTTGAGGCTACATTGAGCCGTGATCACACCACTGCACTCCAGCCTGGGGGGCAGAGCTAGACCCCGTCTCAAAAACAGAAAAAAAAAAACAGAGATGGGGCTGGGTGTCGTGGTTCATGCCTGTAATCCCAGGATTTTGGGAGTTGGAGGTGGGTGGATCACTTGAGGTCAGGAGTTTGAAACCAACCTGGCCAACGTGGTGAAACCCCATCTCAAGTGAAAAAACAGAAACAAAAACAAAATTAGCCAGGTGTGGTGGCACATGCCTGTAGTCCCAGCTACTTGGGAGGCTGAGGCAGGAGAATTGCTTGAACCCGGGAGGCAGAAGTTGCAGTGAGCCTAGATCACACGACTGTACTCCAGCCTGGGCAAAAGAGTGAGACTCTGTCTTGAACAGCAACAACAAAAAAAGAGACGGGAAGAGGCTCATGCCCCATTTTGGAGGCCGCCCTGTGGCTCAGATGTGGTGGCTCACTCCTGTAATCCCAGCACTTTGGGAGACCAAGGTGGGAGGATTGCTTCTGGCCATGATTTCAAGACCAGTATGGGCAACATGGTGAGACCCAATCTCTACAAAAATTTTAAAATTGCAGACGCAGTGGTGTGCACTTGTAGACGTAGCTACTCGGGAGGCAGGGGTAAGGATCACTTGAGCCCAGGAGTTTGAGACTGCAGTGAGCTATGATTGGGCCACTGCACTCTAGCCTGGGTAACAGAGTGAGACCCTGGTTCTAAAAACTATTTTTCAAAAAAACTAGTTTTAAAGTTCAAAAATATAAATATAAAGAGAGGTGGAGGACTATTAGACCACTTACAAGTAGGTGAAGTTCATCTTTGGGGGCTTTTTTTTCTTTTAAGACAGAGTCTCGCTGTGTTGCCCAGGCTGGAGTGCAGTGGTGCAATCTCGGCTCACTGCAACCTCTGCCTCCTGGGTTCAAGTGACTTTCCTGCCTCAGCCTCCCCAGTAGCTGGGATTACAGACACGCACCACCATTTTTACAGGCACGCACGCCTGGCTAATTTTTTGTGTTTGTAGTAGAGACGGGGTTTCACCATGTTGGCTAGGCTGGTCTCAAAGTCCTGACCTCAGGTGCTCCACCCCCTCGGCCTCCCAAATTGCTGGGATTACAGGCATCAGCCACTGCGCCTGGTCATCTTTAGGGGCTTTTTGAGGAGGCTGTGTGTGACCAGAAATTGGCAAATACACCACGTCTTCCAGGACCTATTCTCTTGTCCTCAGTAATCTCACATTAACACAAAAGAGAAGACATCCTGCAACTCTTCTGCTGTGCAGGTGACTTCCCTGCATGCCATCATCCTTAACCCTCAAGTTCACATGTTTCAAAGTGATATGACTAATTTTTCTCACTCACATTGACTGGAGAGCTATTTCTCTCCTTCCCAGCTCTGTGACATCTCTGTCCACAGAAATTTCATCTGGTCCAGGTGGACCCTCTGCATGTCACTGGCTTAGAAAGTTTGGGTCAAAGTGAGCAGACTTCAAGACTGAATTGTCAAAATTCTTTTGTGGCATCTCCTATAAGTCAAGATGTCCTTGTAACCATTCTGGATCTATTGGACCAGGGGGCAGGCATGTGCCCCTGAAGCTAAGGAAGAATGTACAAATTATATCATGAAGCCAGTGAGATGATTTTCAAATGTAGAGAATTTCCTTTAGATTGACTTAAGTGCTGACTGGTGTTCTGGCACCTTCCACAGAGCTAAATACACAGAAACTGACCCTGCATTGGCTGCGATGTGGGTTCCCGAAGTGCGGGAAGGAATTAACATTAGTACTACAAAGCAATGGCTTTTAGCAGTTAAATGAGTGATCTGCTGCCTTCCGGTATAACCAGTTGCCTTGGTTTTGGCCAATCCGCTGCTTTGTTTTTTGTTGGTGACATTTACGGGTTTTTGTGGGTTTTGGAAATAGATTATTATGTAACCTCTCCCACACCAAGATAATTGGGCTATCTTCACTCTAACTTTTAGCTTTTGAATATGAAGAAGTATTTTTGAAAGACTCCCACTTTAAGAATGGTGAAATTTTGGCTGTCAAAAGTGCTCACAACTGTATGACTAAGTGAATTTTAATTTGTGTGATCTGGGATTATGTGAGGTTTTTTCTTCTCTACACATTAACTATAAATACCACACCTTCAAATTATTCTACAAGCACGCTGATCACATTTATGCCTTTTAATTTAAAATTTAATTAAAATTTAAAATTAAAAAAGCATAAATGTGATCAGCGTGCTTGTAGAATAATTAAGCCAAATACTAAGACTTTCCATTTCTGTTTATTTGCTCCCAAATCTGCTACTATTAATTTTCAATTGAAGCAAGTTGTTTTGGATAAAAATTCAATTAATCGTCTCAAAAAAGAGAAATGGAATACATTAAGAAAAAAGTAGAATAGAAGATATAAGAGTACATCATACATAGTAAAGTTACATCATGTTTTATAAAAACTGTTTCACCCATGAGGTTACTGGGTCACAAATGAAAATCCATTTCTTGCTAGGAGTCATGACCAAACACTTTGAAAATCATAGTACTAAAGACTTTCTAGCTTTATAATTCTATAATTATGAAAAGAACTCCAAACCATTCATTCAAAAAGGATGTAATAAGTACCTACTTTCACCCCATCCCCCCCAGAGGGCCAGGCATATGGGATCACTGGCATGACCTTAGCACTGGGACTATAAAGCTAGAATAATTGGCCTTTTTTAAACTGTGGATGTCTCAGGCATCTGATGAAGTCTATGAATCCTGTCTCAGAACAATGGGGTTTTTTCTTTTGGAAGAAAAAATTTTACTTGCTATTGCAAAAAAAAAAAAAAAAAAAATTCCGTATGGAGTAGAAATTGGTTTGATAGCATTATTACAGAATACGTTCTAGAAAGTGGAGGTAACTGGATGTAAGAGTCTGGCAGCAGTTTAACAGAACAGTCCCAGATGCGTAGGTTGAGGCCAACGCCTAATTTGTGTGAACGGTTTGTGTTTGTGCGTGTGTAATTTTGGACAATATAAGGAGAAACGTTACACTGTGCACAAACCAAATTTAATTTTTTTACAAGTGTTGTAAAGTTTCATATAGTAAAAGGTTTTTGCTACATGCACTTCATTTTCACATTAAGAGTGTTTAGAATACCTAAACACAAAAGAGATCATTCATGCAAGATATGCCACTCCTTGATATAATAATGCGTGCAGTTCAAAATGTTCACACTTTTTTTTTTTTTTAGATGGAGTCTCGCTCTGTCTCCCAGGCTGGAGGGCAGTGGCGCAATCTTGGCTCACTGCAAGCTCCGCCTCCCGGGTTCACGCCATTCTCCTGCCTCCCAAGTAGCTGGGACTACAGGCGCCCGCCACCACGCCTGGCTAATATTTTTTGTATTTCTTTTAGTAGAGACGGGGTTTCACCATGTTAGCCAGGATGGTCTCGATCTCCTGACCTCATGATCCACCCGCCTTGGCCTCCAAAAGTGTTGGGATTACAGGCGTGAGCCACCGCGTCCGGCCAATGTTTACACTATTGATGCAGTAGCTGCTGCCATCACAGGGCTGTGGTGGGGAGACACAGCTGGGGCTGCCTGCCGGTGGATGCCTCGCCCCTTCTGAGTTGGGGAGAGCTCCCCGGGTGCTGCTGCAGCCGCCCAAACCGCAGCTGCAGACTCAGGCCTCCTGCTTTAGGGAGCAGGCAGGATCCCCACCCTTCTGGGCGGGGCTACAACCGCCCAAACTGCGGCTGTGGATCCGAGCCTCCCTGTGCTCTTGGAGGGGGCTGGCAGCAGGCAAGATCTGCCCTCCTAGGTGCAGGACCCAGAGAGTTTCTGCAGCCTGCACCCTCGTGGACCCCAGAAAGGACCCCACTGCCCTTCCCCCCCTGTCGCTTGGGGGTGTCTGTTCCTGCTGCCTGGCCTCTTTCGGCTGCCACCCCTGCTCTGATCTTGGAACAGGGCTTGGGGCCAAGCCCCAGAGGCCATGAATGACAGTGGGAGGCAGATTGATTCCTGGGCAGAAGGGGGTGGGTCTCCAGTAAGGCCCATCTTCAGGTCAGGGAGGGACTGAAGACTGGGGACCAGGCTGCCAGTCCCACAGACCTGAGTGGGAGCTTGTAGTGCCGCCTCTAGGCCCACCCATGGCTGCCAATGGGCCAATCAGCACACACTTCCTCCTGTCTGAGGTCCATAAAAGCCCTGGGCTCAGCCAAACTGCAGGAGAGGACAGAGACACAGCAGGAAGAGTAGCTGTAGAGAGGAGCTACTGTCTGCCAGAGCTGCAGAGACCTGAGGAGACTTTTAAAGGACCTGCGGAGAGGAGGCCCCCTCCTCCTGTAGAGACTTCCAAATGACCTGAGGAGAGGATCCCCCAGAACAGCCTCCTTCTCCAGGAGCAGGTCTTTTCTCTGCTAAGAGCAGCTCCCCTCTTCAGGGTTGGGTCTTCTTTCCGCTGAGAGCAGCAGGCGGCAGGATGACCACTGGGCAGAGGGGACCTACCCTCTCCAGGCCTCCTGTCTGCTGAGAGCTGAACACTCCATGGGATGACTTGCTCAGAGGAGCTACCCACTGTAGGTCGTCTCTGAG